AAAAAAAAAAAAAAAAAAAAAGAAAAGAAAAGAAAAAGAAAAAGAAAGAAAGAAAAAAAGAAAAAGAAAAGGAAACAAAAGAAAAAAAAAATTCTAGGGACCAGACCAGCTGGTGGCATGGTGGTTAAGGCGACTGGCTCCTGCAGGGCTGATGGTGCAGTTTGAATCCTGGACTCAGTAGCTTGAGAAACATGCTGGGTATGTGTGCATGTGTGTCCAGGATCCTGAAGAGGGAGAAAAGATGGTGAAGGGATGGGACTGCAGTATGACCATTCCCCATGAAGAGTACTTTCTCACTTACCCTCTCTCTGCCACTGGGTGGCAAATTAAAAAAAAAAAAAAAAAAAATCTGGAGATGAACTGGCTCAGGCGAGGGCGGTGGGGAGGGGTACGGTGGGGAGACGAGCACTGAAACCACAGTGAGAACAAGGGAAGGACAGACGTTGATGACGTTCTTTTTTTTAGAATTATTTTATTTCACTTCATTTATTTATTCATTTTAATTTGACCAGAGAGGGACTGCGAGAGAGAGAGAGAGAGAGAGAGAAAGCAAGCCACCAGGTCTGGGGCTCAAACCACGGTCGGCCACGTGGAAGTCCAGCACCCTTAACCACACCACGTGCCGGCCCGATGACCTAATTTTTTCCTCCACCCTCATCTCAAAATACAGAGAAGAAGGGGCCGGCAGGTGGTGTGGTGGTCAAGGGCACTGGATTCCCTCATGGCCGACTGTGATCTGAGTCCCGGACCTAATAGCTTGCTTTCTCATTTTCTCTCTCTTTCTGTTCCTCTCTGGTGAAGTCTAAATAAATACATAAATATTTTTTAAGAGGTTGAATAAAATACTTCTTTAAAAAAATAAAATCCAGAGGAGCACGTGCCACAAATTGACTTGGCAAAACAATAAAACCGTCTGTTCATGCTTTTCTCATTCCCCTCATCCTCACCAAAATTACAGCTATTTACCAGCCAGTGGTGTGGTGGTGAAGGTGGCTGGATCCCATGTGGCTGACTGCATTTGGGTTTGAGTCCCAAACCAGTGGCTTAAAAAACACACTGAGTGCATGTGCATGATACCCAGACTCCTGACAGGAGGCAGAGACGGAGAAGGGTTTGCAGTATGACCATGCCTCATAGAGGGTGATTTCTCGCTTTCCTTCTCTCTCTCTTTCTATCTCTGGCGAGCCCACACACCCTGGGCTTTGCCCAGTTTTGCCTGAAAATTGTTTTGAAAAAATTGTAGATATTTGAAAAGAAGCAATAGGGATTAATAATATTAATAATAGATATAATAACAATAGTTTTTTGGGGGGCAGAGAAGTTTTTGCTTAGGGCACGTGTGCAGCCCCCCGGCGGGGGGTGGCCACACCACAATCCCTTCTCCTCCATTCTCTCGGTATCTTGGGCACACACGCACACGCGCTCTGCATGAGTTTAAGCCACCGGGTCCAGCACTCGAACCATGGGCGACTACATAGGAGTCCAGCGACATGGCCATTACACCAACTGCTGGTCCCCCCACAATAATAGTATTAATCAGGCTTTGAAATCATGCTGTCCAGATTAGAGTCCTGGTTCCTCCTCTTTATGATTGTGTCACCATGAGCTGCTATTGGTTGGGGAAACTTGCCCAGCTCAAGGGAGTGGGAATGGTCTTCACATGTTAGCCACTTGAGGGGCTTCTTCTGCTCAGGAGAGCCACTTCGCCCAAGTCAAGTCACCTTCCCAAGGTGGCCCACATTCAGTGACTGATCACTGAGAACTAAGGGGACGGGGGTTAGTAAGGGGGTGAGGGTCTGGGCCTCTTGCCTCCACCCAATGATTCTGCTAGGCCTTTTTGCTCCAGAGCTCCCAAGATGTTGGCCTGCAACTGTAATTGGGTCTGAATCCACTCAGCTTCTTTCTCTGTCCACTCTTATTTCGTTTCCCTTCTTTTTTAAAAAAAAATATTTTATTGAATTTTATTTATTATAATTTGACCAGAGAGGGACAGAGAGAGAGAGAAAGAGAGAGAGGGAAAGTGGCAAAGCAAGCTGCCAAGTCCGGGACTCAAACCATGGTCCAGCACCCTTAACCACCATGTCACCTGCCGGCCTCTCCCCTCTTTTATACACATAGTGGTCCTAGGCAGGCAGGTGGCATGGTGGTTAAAGGTGTTGTACTCCCACATAGTTGGCCAGGTTTGAGTCCCGGACTTGGCAGCTTGCTTTGCCACTTTC